TGGCTCACACTTCGAACTCTGGCTCACACTTAGAGCTCTGGCTCACATTACGAGCTCTGGCTCAAACTACGAGCTCTGGCTCAAACTATGAGCTCTGGTTCAGACTACGAGCTCTGGCTCACACTTCGAGCTCTGGCTCACACTTCAAGGTCTGGCTCACACTTCGAGCTCTGGCTCACACTTCGAGCTCTGGCTCAAACTTAGAGCTCTGGCTCACACTTTGAGCTCTGGCTCAGACTTCGAGCTCTGGCTCAGACTACGAGCACTGGCTCAGACTATGAGCTCTGGTTCAGACTACGAGCTCTGGCTCACACATCGAGCTCTGGCTCACACTTAGAGCTCTGGCTTAAACTAGGAGCTTTGCCTCACACTAAGAGTTCTGGCTGTGATTAGGAGCTCTGGCTCAGACTTTGAGCTCTGGCTCAGAGTATGAGCTCTGGCTCAGACTTAGAGCTCTGGCTCAGTCTTAGACCTCTGGCTCACACTTAGAGCTCTGGCTCATGATTCGAGCTCTGGTTCACACTTCGACCTTTGGCTCACACTTCGACGTCTGGCTCACACTTTGAGCTTTTGCTCAGACTAGGAAATCTGGCTCAGACTTGAGCTCTGGCTCATACTTAGAGCTCTGGCTCAGACATAGAACTCTGGCTGAGTCTTAGAGCTTTGGCTCAGACTTTGAGCTCTGGCTCACACTTTGACCTCTGGCTCACACTTCCAACTTTGGCTCAGACTACAAGCTCTGGCTCACACTTAGAGCCATAGCTCACATTTTGAGCTCTTGCTCAGACTACGAGCTCTGGCTCAGACTACGAACTCTGGCTCAGACTTCGATCTCTGGCTCACACTTTGAGCTCTGGCTCAGATTTCGAGCTCTGGCTCAGACTACGAACTCTGGTTCAGACTTGGAGCTCTCGCTCAGACTTAGAGCTTGGGCTCACACTTCGAGTTCTGGCTCAGACTATGTGCTCTGGATCACACTTAGAGCTCTGGCTCACACTTAGAGTTCTGGCTCACACTTAGAGCTCTGGCTCACACTTGGAGCTCTCGCTCACACTTAGAGCTCTTGCTCACATTACGAGCTCTGGCTCACACTTAGAGCTCTGGCTCAGCCTACGAGCTCTGGCTCACACTTAGAGCTCTGGCTCACACTTAGAGCTTTGGCCCGACTACGAGCTCTGGCTCAAACTTAGAGCTCTGGCTCACACTTAGAGCTCTGGCTCAGCCTACGAGCTCTGGCTCAAACTTAGAACTCTGGCTCAGACTTCGAGCTCTGGCTCACACTTAGAGCTCTGGCTCAGACTTAGAGTTCTGGCTCAGCGTTGAGCTCTGGCTCACACTTAGAGCTCTGGCTCAGACTTAGAGTTCTGGCTCAGCGTTGAGCTCTGGCTCACACTTAGAGCTCTGGCTCAGACTACGAGCTCTGGCTCAAACTTAGAGGTCTGGCTTATTCTTCCCCCAACAGCTTACTCCAAAGTGGAACAAACCAGTTCTGCTTGTGATAAGATGGTCTCTTTGGTACGCCCCTCCTCCATTGCCGGCCCTCTTCCTTGTTGACAGTCTTGTCCAACTGGTTGAAAACAACAAAGTCCATGCTCAATAATCCAGGTATACAATCCTCTCGCTTTGAGTTTACTTTGTCACCTGCATGCTGTGGGTGAAAAACGTCCAGATCATCAAAAAACAGCAGCTTAACTGAGGAGGTGAATTTATTTTGTTAGCAAAGAATAGAGTCCTAACATTTACTAAACATTACTTCTGTAAATTGTGCTTTGACAAACTTATCGATAAAACTAACATTTAGTCAATGCAAAAGAAGAAAGAGGCGGCAGGTGTTACTCTTGCTTGAGTTTACTCTTTGTTGCACGAGCGCTGTGAGTGTCGTCCAGAGCGCATGGACATAAAAACAGCAGCAGAGGACGGTTTGTTTGTTTGTTTGTTTGTTTGTTTGTTTGTTTGTTTGTTTGTTTGTTTGTTTGTTTGTTTGTTGGAAGGAAGGAAGGAAGGAAGGAAGGAAGGAAGGAAGGAAGGAAGGAAGGAAGGAAGGAAGGA